AAATATCAACAGTAAAAACAAAATTTACTGAGTAAAATAAGTAAAAATAAGCTGCGTCAATTATTTCTTTATTTAATAAGTGTACTTGCGCCTCAGACGACAATGCTGACACACAATGAACACATGGGGGCGTTTGAAGCCATGACATGCGGAGACTTTTGACATGCTCCAGACGCTCAGAGGTAATTAATAATATACACTGATACAAAAACAGTTAAGGCATTTTAGAATGACTAAAACAACATTAATGACGTGTTACAGTGTGCTCAGCCTGCTGGTTTTTCCATTCACACACATTTTCATCATTTTATGATGACCTTTTTTTAATGCACATACTGTAATTTGTTCAGTAAAAGTGTTTCAATCATAGTTTATGCGCATATTTTCTATCGAATAAAAGTTTATCCTACTCAATTATGCATGTGTTTTTTATGCATATTTTCAAAAGTTATGTGAATCATGACGTTTCCATCAATCGTTTTTATGCATATATCCAAAATGAGCATTAAAATAGGTGGGTGGAGACGTAAGGCTAAGGCGAGAAATGCTGCTTCGTCTTTAAAAAAGGGGAGGAGACCGACAGAAACTCTGAGTTTAGAGAATAAAACCTGCTCGTGACCAGGTTAGATTCACAGAGTAATTTACCACAGTAACTGACTCGGAGTTGAAGTTACCTCTCTTTCAGAAACAGGCTTGACTTACCCTGCCTTCTCGAGTTTAACAAACCTGCCATTTTGAAACAGAAAACCCAAAGTTTCTCTCATTTCAGGGTTAAAATACTCTGAGTTTTCACTTAACCTTTCTGAAACAGGCCCCTGGACAGATTCTTGTGCATAGATTTAGTTTATTATAGTTTTTAAAACTTTTATTTAAAAAAAGTTTATTTTGGAAAAAAGTGTGTGGATACAAGTAACGCTTGTTTGTTTTTACACAATGTTTATAAGATTTTGCTAAGAAATATCTAAATATTGTATTTTTCATTTGTTATTGTATTATTAAATGTATTAAATCATAATATAGTTTGATAGCAAATACAAAGCGATTTCTGGCTGCGCCCCTTCTTATCTGCTCTCACTTCTGCAGATTTATAGGCCCTCCAGAAACTTGCGTTCTGTGAATGAATGTCGCCTCGTGGTTCTTTTCCAAAGAGGCAAGAAAACGCTTACCCGAACGCTCGTGCTCAATCTGCCCAGTTGGTGGAATGAACTCCCTAACTGCATCAGAACGGCAGAGTCACTCGCTGTCTTCAAAAAGCGACTAAAAACTCAACTATTCAGTCTTCACTTTCCTTACTAATACGCAATCTTCTCTCTGACTCCTCCCTTAACTACAAAAAAAATGAAAAAAAAAAAATTACTAATGCTTTCCTTCTTAGACTTTACACACCTGAAACTTGCCTACAACACTTATTCATTGTTGCTCTTATAGTTGTGTAAATTGCTTCCTTGTCCTCATTTGTAAGTTGCTTTGGATAAAAGCGTCTGCTAAATGACTAAATGTAAATGATAGCTGTAAATGATAATGATAATTCAGTCATTTTTAGACTCATAAAGGGCTAAAGGCTAAAGAATTTTTCAAATGGCCCAGATGGAAAAGATTTTTGTTTGCCCTATCAAAAAATTTTACCAAAAAGATTTTTTGTTAAAAATTTCTTTAAAAGTTTTACATTTTACTTGGTGAAACCTAAAAGACCCTGGTTAAAAGTATGTCAAAAAACATGGATGCCCCCAATTTTAAATATGCTAAATGAAATGGACACTAAAATAATTATTATAAAAAAAACTGTACAGTATTCTAAACTATATGATGTTGTTGTGGGACGTTGAGAGACAAAACAAATTATAATGGAACAATAACGTTTAGCATTGCACTGACTACAACTGGCCAACAAACTAGTCTAAAAATGACTTTTGCTGCTTAAGAAATGGATTACAGCATGCTGATGATATGCAAACATTTGAGTGTGAAGTTCCTCAGTATTAACCATATTCTTCAAGTACCTGCGGGCGTGTCATTGGAATCTTTTTGCTTGAGAATTTTTTTTTTTTAAGAATGAATTTTTAGATCCTAAAACAGTGTTATACTGCTTAGGCCAGGGGTCACCAATCTCGGTCCTGGAGGGCTGGTGTCCCTGCAGGGTTTAGTTCCAACTTGCCTCAACGCACCTGCCTGGATGTTTCAAGTATACCAAGTTAGACCTTGATTAGCTTGTTCAGGTGTGTTTGATTAGGGTTAGAACAAAAATCTGCAGGACACCGGCCCTCCAGGAATAAGTTTGGTGACCACTGGCTTAGGCACACAGGAAAATCCTCAGAGTAAAGTTACTCAGTTCAGTGAATATTTGGTCCCTCTCTAAATTGAGCAAAATTAACTCAGCAGCAGTTAAAGTGAATGAGACAATGATGGGGTTAATTAAGTGATGATTGAGCACTGATGATGAACACCTGCTGTTAATAAGCAGAAACAGAAAAGAAAAACAAAACAACAACTGACTTCAGTCACAGCCGTAGATTAAATAAACTGAAATAAAACACATCAAATCTCTCAAAAGTTTTAGCAGAGCATCATCAAACAACTCCACAAACGGCAGCTTTACTTATTAACAACCTGTTTGGCCTTATTTCTGCCACACTTTAAAAAAAATAACATATAGTGATATTATTAAGAAATAACTACATATTTGTTTTAAAACAGCAATAAAACATCACTACTTTTTGTGTTTAAGCTGTCACCATTGAGGAGAACAGTAGCTGCTTTCCTTGGACTCTGACTCGATTTCTAATGTTAAATTCTCTTTGTTTGCCTAATAGTATATTGTGTTAAACATTGTATAAAGAGAGCAATTGTGCTCTGGATAATTGACTCTGTGGTGGTTTAGTCACTGGTCAAATCAGTAAAATTGGTTTTGACCTATTAAGTTTAAATAATGTTGTATCACAAAAGAAGCACTGTATTAAGAAAATGGAGCTCATCAATACTTTTATCAGATCACAAAGCACATTAAACATTGAAAACACTTTAAAAAAAAAAAAAAAAACCACAGACATAAAGAATCAGTGTATGCCTCTCAACTATGGTGAGTTTTTTTTTTTCCTACAGTGCATGCTGGGAACTATATATGGATGTTGTTAATGATTCTCTTAACATGCTCTGCAGCCAAAAAAAAAAACACCATCTCTAACCACTGTTGAGATAGATATGCTGATTATTGATTTCTGTTTAAAGTGATTCAGATGCTCAATGTGTTTTACTAAAACACCACAGCTGAGGTCCATTTTCTTGAAAAACACTGAATTTGGTTTCTTATATAATGAACCAACCCATTCTCACTCCGAAGGCATCAAAAACTGAAGTATGGTCAAGCACCTTCCACGTCAACATGAGGACGCCAAAGGTGTCCCTAGGCGTCACTATACTGACAAAACAGGAGCTCCATTGCTTTCAATGGGTCCCCTCGGACGTCACATCAAGACGCCCAAAGCCCTACGGTAAAGCCTTGTAGCATATAGCCCACGTGAATGCAGTTGTATGAGCATATAAAAGAAAAAATTAATCAATTGAATGTTTTCTTTTAATATTTTATTCATAAATGTCCGCATAGTATTTGTTTTTTTAATAAAACGATTATATGAAGTTATTTATAATGTAATATCTGTTATTTTACATTAACGGCGAACGAAGCTTGAGACAAAAGAGAAATTTGAAGCTTATATATATATTCAGGAACAGAAACCCTTTTTATTATTATTTTTTTTTACAAAAAAAAAAAACAAAATAAAGAAACTAACTTATTTTATTTGTGTATATATATATATATATATATATATATATATATATATATATATATATAATATTTATGAAATATTAAAATATGCTCTTTGTATTAGAGGTCTGTATATTAGATTCGATTTATTGTTGTTTTTGGACATCTAGACTTTAATTTGATCTGTATTTTTTAAGATTTTGTTGATGTTGCTCTTTTTGAATGATTTTGGTTGTTGTTATCATTTTCTTAACATTTCATTATACTTTCTTATCGTTAAGTCTTATTATGATGGCCAATAAAAACCTAACCGAAATCCCTATTGATAAAAAATCAATAGGATTTTTTTTTTCATGTTACTTTTACAAACACTCGAATATTTGTGCCGCTTTACTAGCAAGAAATGAAAATAAAAACACTTTAATATAAAATATTTATTTTTCCACATTTCCCTAAATAAGCAAGCGGGAAATCGTGTCACGTGACGTAACAACCATCCATCGCTGTACTGATCCCGCTTTCAGCGGTGAGTTAATGTACACTGATTCCACAAATTAAATAAAGAAATTTTGTTCTTCACACCATGTTTGTCTATGTGCATTGCTCACATGTATATTTAGGTTATTATATTTTGATAATACACGTTAAAAATAAGTGCTATGTTAGCATGTTAGGCAATAACTTACTTTATTAACGTTACTTTACAAACAGTCTTGGTAGGCAAGTTTATTCAGATAATTTAGCTTAATCTGACAAGATATTTACATATACGTTTACTCATTTAACGTTAGCAAACGCTTTTATCCAAAGCTATGTGTGTGTGTGTGTGTGTGTATATATATATATATATATATATATATATATATATATATATATATATATATATATATATATATATATATATATATATATATATATGCAATTTTAATTAATAATTTCTATTGCTATTTTGAGTTCATTGAATTCATACTGTTCCATAGTTTACTTTAACTTACTAATTACATTAAAAATGTCTTTGTCTGTTAAATAATTTATACATTTATATATTAAATGATTGAGTAATTAAATATGTTAAATTATTCTATGTGCATATACTGTTACATAAAATTTGTTTTATAGCTTGTAAATAATCCTTTCTATTATTGTATTAAAAAAAAAAAAACTTTAAGATACAGTGTTTTCAATGAAAATGTATTTTGTCTATGATTAATATTAATATATATTTTGTTTCCTTCCAGAGAGAATGAAAAAACCCAAGCAAAAGCCTTGCCATAATTGTGGGGCTTTAAATGTTTCAAACTGCAAAACGTGCAGAAATTGTTTTGCTGCCATTGCTTTAAAAGCAATCATCATGGCAAAACAAAAAAACATTGAGGAGTCGTCATGGGCAGCAAACAACAAAAAACACAGGAATTCTGCCCGTGTTGTAGATTCTGCCCGCACTGCTGTAAGTACATTATTTGAGTACAGAGGCATAGTGTATAGAAAATTATGTTGTCATTATTAGGTAAAACTAAATCAAAAATGTATTTCTGAACAAATGTACACTGTTAAAAATTGTCCCGTTAAAAAACAGTAAAATACTGGCAGCTGCAGTTGCCAGCAATGTACTGTTATTTTACAGTCTGTTGCTGTAAAAATACATGGACTACATTGATTAACACAATACTCAAGTGAACTCATTTTGCTCACTGAAAGCAACTGCCTCAACTTGGTCAACTGCTGAATGAGTTTATGAAGTAATGTGCTATACATGCTTAGAAGCATACTTATAATGATAACTTATTTTAGTTAATTAGAAAAGTTCGGTTTAACTCTAATGTCTTATTTTCACAACAGCACACATACATGTAAATCTGGAATCACCAGAGAGATTCTGACTGCATCAGCAACTAAACAGCCGCTATCTTTAAATAGAGAAACATGCAGAATAACATCAGCAGTTCATTGTTCATCTTTAACTCATACACTGGCTCTACTCTCCTCCACAACGGTGACACACAGAAGAAATTAGCTTCAGGTTTTACAGTAAAATACTGTTTTTTCCTTGATTTAACAGTAATCTACTGGCAGCTGTGGTTGCCAGCAATCTACTGTTTTTTTACAGTCTACTTCCGTTGTGTAAATTAACAGTATATTACTGTTAAAATACATTTTTACACTGTGTTTTTACCTCTCACACCTTTAACCCTTTAAACCCCAGAGCCTATACTTCAGTTTTAATTTAAGTGTCCACACTACTGAGTGTTCAAGAAACATTTAGCAAAGCTGAAGTAAATTCATTAATTAACTGACTAATTAAATGATAATTGAGGATTAACAATGAACAAATGAAGAAATACTGAAGGGAGAAAACAAGAACAGAACATACAAAACTTTAGTCACAGCTTTATAATGAAATAACCTGAAGAACAACAAATGATTAAATCATTTAAATGATCAGCGGATGATTAAACAACTCTACAAACATCATCACCAGCTACACTTATTACTTAATACATGTATTTTTGTATAACATCTACTAAAGTTCTTCTTGAGAAAAAGTTAAAGTTTTACGTCACCATCATGGAGAACAGAGTTTGCTTTAGTTGGGCTCTTAGCCCTGTCATTTTTAACATTTATATATTTTGGCTGCTGCAATTGTTAAGAACTTTGTTTAAAAAGCTCCTTTGATGTGGCAAGCCAGCCAAAAACCTAAATAAGATCTGGTGATGTTCATGTTGCTAATAAATGGCAGAGTCTGTTCTCATTTCGTATAATACAATTTACTGCTCCTATTCAATGTTAAATCTATTGTTTTACATTATATGTATATATATATATGGCAATGATTTCTGGAAGTTTTTAAGATTATCTTGGACAATAACACTGCTCTATGGTGTACATCGCACTCAAAGAGACATCAATAATCAGCATATGAACCTCAATAATGGTGACAACAAATTTAACAAAATTAACAGTTTAACTCACAAACAGGCAACTGAAAGTCTAAACATAAACAACAGCAGAATCAAACACAAATAAAGAAAACTGTGAGACCATCATACAACATTTATTTATACCGCAATGCATGCTGGGATATTTGTACAGTGCCACTCCCAGCATGCATTGCAGCATGAAACATTTGAGATGTTACCATTGTTGAGATACAAGGTCAGATTCATGAGGTCTGAGTGTGTATTTGTCATAACTGAACTGTTTTTGTATGTTATTTATTAACTGTTAAGTAATTACGGAGGTATCTTTTCTGTTTTCACTTCGCATTAATTAAATTAATACCTGCAACTAAGCATAAAATCTATTGCATGTGGCCCTTCTTCCAGATTTATACCAAAACATTTATCAGAACTAATTTCAGACAAATAGATTTCTCTATTTATTGACTTCCCAACTTTATTGCTAAATTGCTTTTAGTACAAACGTTTTGTAAACTCTGTATTACAGCAGTTGGAAAGTCTTCTTAAATGAGTTCAAGGGTGAAGAGCCCAACTAAACCAGCCCCTCACTCCATTACGGTGACACAAAAAACACCTTAATTTCTGTTGGATCTCAATGAGAATAGTATGGAAGTCAAATCTGTCAGTAATAAGTGTGTGTCTGCTGTTGTTTGTGGAGTTGTTTAATGATCCTCTGCTGAGACTGAAGCTGTTTTATTTGATTTGATTTTATTTAATGTTGTAACTCAAGTCACTGTTTGTGTTTCTTGTTTCTTTTCTTCAGTAATTGTAATTATAAACAGCAGGTGTTCATCAGTGTCTGAATTCACTCATTAGTGTTCATTAAAACTGTCAGGTGAACTATATTAGTTAACTAGTGTATGAAATAGTGAACAAGGACACAAAGTGTGATTTCAAACACAGACTTCAAAACACCGAATCTGAACTCTGTTAGCTCACAGTTTTCTGCAGTTGGTTACTTTCTCGAAAACAAAAATGTTATTCAGAAAGCACTGTTTTTAACAGAATATTACTGTTTTAGTGAAAAAACATTATTTTACCGTAGAATCTGACCGTTTTTTAACAGCAATTTTTTACAGTGTATTCATGTCAGGTCTGACTATATTAACTGATCATATTTTGATTTTTAGCTATCGATGCAGTTAATGCTTGAGATCCACAACAGCAAGTGTTGTTTTACCAGAAAACTATAATTTATTCTAATCAATTTTCTATCATGATCATTTAAAGAGCAGCTTTTGTGTTATTTTAAAGTGTTATAATATTATGTTTCTCTAAAGTTGTTTAAAAAGATCTAAGGTTGGATTTTTTTTCATTACTTTACATATGTACTGCAGTACATGACATAAACATTTCAGAGCATTTGTGGCAGAGATTATGCAAATGTATTCATTTCATTGTGGTCACATAGATCAGTTGCAGGCAAAAGATTCTGAAAACATAAAGACTTGTTTTGGCAATTCAGAAACTATCTTTTACTTTGATAATGCAGATTTGCTACAAATGTATCTGGGATGTTTGTGCTAATATTATGATTATATTGCATTTTTCTATACTGTTTTTATGTATTTATTTTTCAGGTTAAGAAATTGGAAATGCTGGGCTACAAGCCATTGTTGTTTATTTCGAAAGAAAAGAAAAAAGGATTTAACACAGAGCTAATAACAACAATGGGTCCATTTGGAGAGGGACCACAGCAAAAAATTATAGATAAAATGGCCAGCCTGTACGAAGTTTTTATTAAAAGTAAGTATTGTGGTCATTTGATTACAAAATTCACAAAATTTCAAAGAAATCTCTAACTTTATTTTAAAATTGTTTATAGATTTCCAGAGGTTTCAGAATTCGGCTGCAACAGACCCTGATGTCTGCCAAAACCTAGCATCATCGGTTTCTCCTCCAGCTTCTATTCCTCCATCATCTTCCTCAAGCCTTCCTCCTCCACCATCTTTCCCAAACCTTTCTCCTCCACAAACTTCCTCCAGCTTTCCTCCTTCATTTGCTGTTCCTCCACCATCTTTGCCAAACCTTTCTCCACCACAGTCTTCTTTCAGCTTTCCTCCTTCATCTGCTGTTCCTCCACCATCTTTCCCAAATCTTCCTCCTCCACAATCTTCTTCCAGCTTTCCTCCTTCATCTGCCCCTCCACCTTTATCTTCCAACCTTATTCCTCCAACTAATTCCTCAAGCTTCAGTCCTCCTACCTCCTCCTACATCACCCCTCTTCCACCTGCCTCTTCATACAAAACACTTCCTGCTCCACCGCCTACTTCCCTCACTACTACACCTACTTCCTCTCTATCAAGTCCTGCAGTCCAGTGCATGACTACAGATTTTGGTGATTCAGGTGACTTTATTTGAACTTTTACACAGCATTTTTCCCATTTTAGTTGGGACAAACAAGTTATATAGAAATTTAAAATTAAAACATTAGTTGTGTAAATACAGTTGAATTCTGAATTATTTGCCCCCTTTCATTTTTTTCTTTTTAAAGTATTTTTAACATATTTAAATGATGTTTAAAAGAGCAAGGACATTTTCACAGTATGTCTGATGTCAGTTTTTTTATCTGGAAAAAGTCTTATTTGTTTAATTTTAGCTAGAATAAAAGCAGTTTTTAATTTTTAAAACCATTTTAGGGACAAAATTATTAGCCTCTTTAAGCTATATATTTTTTTCAACAGAACAAACCATCGTTAAAAATAACTTGCCTAATTATCCTAACCTGCCTAGTTAACCTAATTACCCTAGTTAAGCCTTTAAATGTCACTTTAAGCTGTATAGAAGTGTCTAGAAAAATATGTAGTAAAATATTATTTACTGTCATCATAGCAAAGATAAAAGGGTCACACTTTACAATAAGGTCCATTAGTTAATGTTAAGTAATGCATTTACTAACATGAACAAACATTGAACAATACATTTACTACAGTATTTATTCTTGTTAATAAACATTAGTTAATGAAAATACAGTAGTTCATTGTTAGTTCATGTGCATTAACTAATGTTAACAAGCATGGACTTCAATGTTAATAATGCATTAGTAAATATTTAATTATGATTAATAAATGCTGTACATGTGTTGTTCATGATTAGTTCATGTTAGTAAATGCATTAACTAATGAACCTTGTTGTAAAGTGTTACCAATAAAATAAATCAGTTATTAGAAATGACTTATTAAAACTATTATGTTTAGAAATGTGTTGAAAAAAATCTGCTCTACATTAAACAGAAATTGGAAAGAAAAAAATAAACAGCAGGCCAATAACTCAGGGGGGCTAATAATTCAGACTTCAACTGTATGTGTTATTTTTGTGTGTTTTTACAGATTTATTCTCCAGAGAAAGTATCATAAAAGGGGACAAACAGAAGAAGTGGATCTACAAACAAGCAGGTAATGCCATATTGCTGTTCTGAAAAAATAAATAAATAGCAGATTCTGAATATTATCTGAATAATTGTATGCATATAAACTTTGTTACATTAAAATTTATATAATGTAATATTTGATTATTTTGTATTTTTTACAGTTTCCTCAATTCTTTTCTGTTGCCTTGCATTTAATAGTACTATATGACAATGAGTAAAGAAACTATTAAGAGGATAATTTAATATATAGTATTATTGTAAAATTATGAATTATCATATAATAATTCTAATATAATATAATATAGGTGACACGGTGGCACAGTAGGTAGAGTTGTCACCTCACAGCAAGAAGGTCACTGGTTTGAGTCCTGCCTGGATCAGTTGGTGTTTCTGTGTTTGCATGCTCTCCCCGTGTTGGTGTGGTCCCATTATTAATCCACAGTCGCCACAGCAGAATGAACCGCCAACTTATCCAGCACTTTTTTACGCAGCGGATGCCCTTCCAGCTGCAACCCTTCACTGGGAAACATCAATACACACTTATTTACAAACATCCACTACTGATAATTTAGCCTACCCAATTCACCTGTACAGCAAGTCTTTGGACTGTGGGGGAAACCAGAGCACCTGGAGGAAACCCATGTGAACGCAGGGAGAACATACAAACTCCACACACAAATGCCAAACCAGCGACCTTCTTGCTGTGAGGCGACAGCACTAACTAATGCGCCATTGCATTGCCCAAAGTTGATGTTATACTCTACACATTGTTTACAGTAAAACAGAAAAAAAGATGTGTTTGAAATATGCTATACAAAATATGCTGTTCTCTCATTTGGTGTAAATGTAAATGTTACTATAAATTAAAATGCACATTAAAATTTGAATATAAAACAAAAACTATAAAACTATTAAAAAAATAATGTTTAATGAGTGAAAGCAGTTTACATTTCAAATTTTCATGTTTCACAGTATTTATATCAGACTCATTGCTCTCTGAACTTTCCTGCAATATTAAGTAGTTTTTGTAAGTAAGAGCTATATATTTCTGCTGCAGAATGCCAAGTACATTCCAACCAGAAAACCTTTCCATATGACAGGATTGTGAAAAGGAGGATGTCCAAAGAAGTAAGACCACTTTTTTATGTTTGAATTTACTTAAGTAAAAAAATATAATTTTATAAAAATAAAAAGATTTATCCCGTGGTTCTTTTTAATTTAAGCGTGATTTAGCTTATAATGTGTGGGTATTTATAGTGGTAGTTGAAATCATTAGAACACCAGGCATATCTGAAAATATAGATTTTTTGCCTCTAAAACATAATTTAATTTCATAATGAGCACAATCATTTTAATCTGATCACAACTAATATAACATGAATTTAGTCCTACTGGTTTGATCCACTGTTAACTGTAATAATTGGTATGTGCGTAACATGGTATGTCAGGCATTGTGTCAGCACGTTTCCAGACAACTTTAACATTGCTTTCAATGCCTTCTACAACCAAAGCCAATCTAGCTGCTTCTTTGAAAGTACTTGATTGTGTGACATTGACAGTGAACAGGTTTAAAGACAATTATGCTGACCTTCTAGATATTTCATTTAATAGATATTGTTGTGGCTAGGACAAACAATTATGCTAAATGTTCAAATAATTCTAGTCACTGAGTACTAAAAGTGAATGTTGCTCAATACTCATGTTCTTATAGGGTGTTGAAGAGGCCAGAGTCAGATGGAAGCCGTGTTCTGGATGGTAAGTGTCACAAACACTATATAATTCTGTCATACAGTGGTGGAAATATGTTGAACAAACTATGAATGTTTTTTGATGTAAACAATTATTCTTGTAGATAATAATGTGAAGTGAAGATAACCTTTTTTCAAAGCTTAAAATTGTAATAATCTTTAACTAATAAGTCGGTGTTTGCACCAAATTACTTTTTAAAATTATGTTAATTTAAATATCACAGACTATCCTGTAAACATAATTATAATTAAATGTTTTTTACTGATTTACAGTGGGATGAAATGGAAAGACTCCTGGGAGCCATCAAATCACTTTTTGTAAAATACAGTGGGTTATAAAAAAGGAATGCTTTTAAAAAGAGATTTGTCTACTGCTGTTGTAGCTATTTTCGGTGCAGGTCTTGTTTTTGTTTGTTGTTTTAAATCTACTTTAACTCAGCACATGTTTAAACCCACATTTTGACATTGTATTTTGTTTGATTTTTATTTTTTGAATTGTATTATAATAAATTTTTTCTGTTAACCTAGAGTAAAGACTTCCACGCACAAAGATAACCACTTACAGTATTTTCATCTACGTCATATCTGCAGCCACTAAATCACTCGGCAAAATTGTTTGAATGTTTGTATTTAAAAAAAATAAATAAATATATTAATGATTTAAATGTAATAAATGCATTTCTGGTTCTTCAGGAGTTTTATGGCTCACATCAGAGCCATTAAAGTGTGCATTTGCAGCATAGATACATACAAAATTGTTATTTTTTAAATGTTTGTACCACAGAACACAAACTAACACATTTATACATTTTCACTCTGCAATTTATAGTAAGCTATGTGTAGGCACAGTATAACACAAGGCAAAACTATTTATTTAAAAGACATTTGTGAGAAGTGTACTAATTTATGTAGAAATAAGTGCAGAACACACACACACACACAGTGCTCAGCGGAAATCAATATACCCCTCAGAGATCTTTTCTTCAAATTAGTATCTTTTATGGAGTGCTATACAAAAAGGTATTTCTGTATATACATTAAAGTTACATATACATTACACCAAAGTTAAAACTGAAACAAATGTAACAAAAAGATTGATCCCTCTTTTTATTTAGTGCTTTAACTAATTTGTTTCAATATAGTTACTGTGTATATTGTGACACATGGTACAGTTTAGAGAATATTACTTTTTACATTGCACTTTTGATTGGAAAATCAAATTAAACTTACACCTTTATCCACCCCTAAACCTATCCATACCCCCAAACCTGTCCCCACCTTACCTGTATTTCACCTTCAGAGTATCAGAATTGTTCTAAAAGACATTATGAACACAGTAAGTACAATGTATTTACTTTTTTGATATATAGATATCAAAACATTTTGGTACACTTAGTCTAGGTGGATTATATAAGTTAAACAAAATTGTGTTAAAATGTTTGTATTAAAAGTTTTGATCAACTTCAAATACTGAATGTCTTTGTATGTGAGAGAGATAGCAGAAGGCTATGTTGTGTAAAGTGGAAAACGAAGGAGAAATGTATCATGTCATGACTGCAACAGCGAGTGGCAAAAAAAACTAAACAAACATAAAAAAAATTTAAAAAGACTTTGCCAACAGATTATAAACAAATCTTGATTCTATTATCTCTGAAACTCAGTCTGGGTTTATAAAAGGCCACCATGTTTCTATTATAATGAGATTAGTTTTGGATTTGCTAGATTTTGCTGATTCTATTCATTCAGATGGTGTCATTCTTTTTCTTGATTTTTATAAAGCCTTTGATACGATTGAGCACCAGCTTCTGTTTAAAGCGTTGAGGTTATTTGGATTTGGGAACTTTTGTTAACACTATGGCTTTGTTTTATAAAGGAATCAATAGTTCAGTGATTGTTAATTTTAATACTTCTAATGGATTTGATATTTTGTGTGGTATTAGGCAGGACGGCCCAATCTCTTCCTTTTTATTTTTATTAGTTACAGAGTTTCTATCCTTAAGCATTGTGCAAAATCAAGATTTGAAGGGAATTTCTGCTTTTGGGGGGGGAGATTAAGATTTCACATTTGGCAGATGACACCACTTTATTTCTAAAAGATGACTCAAACGTATAAAATGCTTTAAATTTAATTTCTGACATCTCAAGTGTTTCTGGTCTAAAGTTGAATATCTCCAAATGTGAGATAATGCCTGTTCATAATTTGAGTTAGGAATATATAGAAGATATCCCAGTTAAATCCACAATTAAATATTTCATTATTTATGTTACTAAAAATCTTTTAGTGAGACAGCACTTAATTTTTTTTTTATCTAGGATCAGCAAAACTAAAAATATTCTTAATTCCTGGCTACAATGGGACCTGTCATTATATGGAAGAGTTTTTTTGTCCAAGGCAGAGGGTCTTTTTGTATATCCAACGTTATCTTTATTTGTTGAAAACAAAATGGCCAAAGAAATTAATACTGTTTTCTTAAAATTTATCTGGAAGAACAAACCTCATTAGTTGAAAAATGAAGTTCTTTCTAGTAGTAAAGCAGAGGGGGGTGTAAACTTTTTTGATTTTTCTGACATCATATACATTTTTTTAATTATTTGGAAGATTATTTGGAAGAGATGCCTAACCAATCCAACGCATATTTGTTTTTTTTTATTCACAACTACTTTTTGACAAAATTGGTAGTCTTTTGTTTCTTCTTAAATGTAATTATCTTCCCTCTAAGCAATGTCTGCTTGCTTGGCAGCTTGGTTACGTTCACAATTTTTCTCCCCACCGATTTCTCTTATGGAATAACCGAGATATTACAATCAGAAACAAATTGTTATTTTTCCAAAGTTGGTTTCAAAATAATATTAATTGAAATCTTTGCTTGTTTGATGATGCATGAAACATTCTTTCATATGAACAATTTATAACCTACCACTGTTTTCCAACTCTTAACAAATTTAATAAAGTTGTTAAGGCAGTATCACTTGGTTTAGTTCACCTAGTTAAAACTCACTGTAGATTTAACTCAAGGAGCTCAGTGAATATTCATTCTCCTTTGCTTTTAGAAGGTGTTAGTCTGTTAGATAAGAAATGAAACAATAGCTTTGTGTGTCAAAGTTTTCAATTTAAAAGAAAAATTTATTTTAGAGGAAAGTGTTTCTGGAGGTCTTTGGTTGAGGATATAGACTAGAACCTGGCTTTTACCTGGGAAATATTGCATTTCCAACAAGGCAAAAGAAATACACTTTACAATTGTACAGAATATCTACCCTGTAAAATTCTAGTATTTCCAAATGTTTTGAAATCGACAGCCCCTGTTCTTTCTGCGAACAAGCAGAGGAGACACTTGTACATATGTTTTTTGATTGTCCAATATCCAAACAATCTTGGTCACTCCTAAATTCTCATATATCTGCTTTTGCCAATGCTGTGAATTGCTTTAATCTAAAAAAACATTATTTTTATTATAATAACCCAAAAGCTAAATCCCTGGAACACATCATACTTTTTTTTATCTTATATGGCAATTTTTTCATTCACAAACAGAAATTTGCAAATAATTACTCATTTGCTCATTTTAGAATAGAATTTAACTCCCTCCTAAAATCACTTCATCTTATTAACAATAAAAAAAAAAATCTAAGATTCCTGAAATATTATGCAGATGTATTTAAAGAAGATTCTCAATTTTAGTTACTTTCCTTATGGTGATTTGTTTAAGTGTCATTGTAATTTCATTCATTTGTTTAATTATGTTTGTTTAATTTAGTAATTTTAGTATTATTATTATTAATATTATTGTTAATACTTTAATTATATTAATATTTTTTCCCTTTCTGTCTAATGGTATTATTTGTATTTGTATGTGATTTTAGATATTTTTTCTTATGACAAAAAAAAAGTGAATCAACTGGAGAAAGGTTTGTTTAAAAGCTTTTACACAGATATAAACCGATTGATTAAAGTTTCAGGTTTTTCATCCAATACTAAATGAAGTTCTGCTGTTGACAATTTTATTTTAACCCTTTATACTACATAATACTATTTTAATCAAAGTAAAGAGAACTATTGAACAACGTGTGTGTATTAAGTGTCTTAATGAAGGTTTAATTTATTAATTAGCATAATTTCACTTTATTCTAAGTATACATTACTATATATAAAAAATGCAGTACTAATTTTAATCAGCTCATTTGTGGCTGTTGTTTCTTGCTCGGACTTACCAGATTTATTTTTGTTAATTACTCTCATATAAAGAAACTGTTGAAGGGAAGTTATCTTGTTTCTATTCATAGTTTTATTTATTTTAAACAGGACATTTTTATTGCTTTGTTAATTTTAAACAGGATAAAATGTCCATAGCAGAGACAAACTATATATAATAAGTCATGACTTATGACTAAGAGTAAGTGGCAAAAAAAGAAAAAAAAGACTTTTATTTTGGCATGACTTGTGACGTCATAAACCTGCGCCGCTCTCGCGCTGTGATTCAACTGGAGAAAGGTTTGTTTTAAAGCGTTTACACTTATATAAAGTGATTGATTAAAGTTTCAGTTTTTCATTCAGTGCTAAATTATGTACCTGTTGTTGACAATATTATTTTAACCCTTTATACAACGTAGTACTATTTAACAGTTATGAGGTCTATTGTTTGAATAAAAATAGGATAAAGTTTTTGTCCCCAAGAGGAAATTTGTCTTGTGCAAAAAAAAGTGCTACACATTGCTGTAAGCAGACAATAAAATAAATAAAACAAACAAAAATTAAGAACATACTCAAATAAAGTTTGAAAAAAGTTACAGAGATCTAACAGTGTGTAATAAGTGTTTTAATGAAATTATAATTTATTAAATAGCTTAATGTCATTCCATTCTAAGTATACATCACTATAAGCTATGGAGTACTAGTTTTAATCAGGTCATTTGTGGCTTTTGTTTCTGGCTCTGACTTTCCTGATTTCTGTTTGTTAGTTACTCTCATATAAAGAAACTGTTGAAGCAAGTGTTAAAGAGAAGTTATTTTGTTTCTGTTCATTGTTTTATTTATTTTAAACAGAACTTTTTTATTGTTTGTCCAAACGCAGAGAAAAACTCCTGCTGAAGCGACTGATCTCCACACTGTTATAAAGATGGCGTTTATTAAAGAGGAGAGTGAAGATGTGAAGATTGAAGAAACATTCACAGTCAAACATGAAGATCTGCAAGAACAAACAGGTTAATTTTCATTCTCAAACACCAACTCACTCATTTGATCGTCATTCAGATATATTTTAATAATAGGAATACTAAATTAAATCCATCTTGCAGCCCTGAGTGTGCTGCCTAGTTCTCCTAAATGCACATAAGCACTCATTGAAAGACAGGAATGAGTTTCATTTGTTACTTGTTCTCATGTCTTTTGTCATTCTTTTAAGTATTATTAGTCTCCCATTTTCATGATCGTGGGCCAAAAATATTGTTATCGTGATGATAATACGATTAATCTTATAATCTATATACCCTTTCATTATGTTCTTGGCTGTTTTTGACCCATTGACTTCTATTATAACCACATTTTTTAACCGTTGAGCCATGACACCAAATAATCATGCATTCTACATTGTTGCTGTTTTCCCTGTTGGGAAGAGGTCAAATGTGTAATTTTTACTGTTGATCATCAGTTGGCTGCATTAACCCTTTAGA